CTGAAGGCTCAGATGATGGTTAGCATTTTTTAGCAATAAAGTATTTTTTAATTAAGGTATGTACATTGTTTTTTTAGACATAATGCTATTGCACACTTAATAGACTACAGTATAGTGTAAACATAACTTTTATATGCACTGGGAAACCAAAAAATCGTGTGACTCACTTTATTGCGATATTTGCTTTATTGCGGTGGTCTGGAACCGAACTTGCAATATCTCTGAGGTATGCCTGTATAACAGACTTATCTGCATTCATTTTAAATCAGGGATATCAAACATCCTGCCTGTGGGTTGCTGGACAGACCCTACACACTGGCCCCAACCCCAGCACGCAGGCTGGACCTAGCACTACATGCACCATTGGGGCTGCAGAGCACATGCTGCATGTGGCACCCTGGACCAAACCTGTGCTGCCTGCAGAGCCAGATCCAGCCCACACACCCAGTGCTGGCTCCATGTGCTGCATGCACAGTGAGTCCCCAGGCAATATGTGGCACACAGGCTGGATCCAGCACCCTGAGCACTGCACAGGGGGGCTGATCTTGGTCCGCCCCTCAGACTAGCTAAGCAACTTTTATCTGGCCCGTGGGGCTGGGTGACTTTGACACCCCATTTTAAAGAAACTCATTTAAGGGTGACATTTACCTTCTTCAGACAAAAGCAGAAGTTTGATCCTGTATATCTGCACCAGGAAAGCCAAAGCAGTCTCTCTCACTCCCACCTATTCAGGAATGGCAAGAAGCTTAACTCCATGATGCACTCAGTAAACCACTAGCTGTTTACTTCTAAATTTCTGCCAGGCTATCTAAATACTTCTCATGCATTGAGCCTTCAGCATAGTAAGAGAGTTAGCTGTTCCCCAGTCAGAAGTCTGAACCTGCTTTGTCATCAGATTCTGTCAAAGACTGACCTTTGCTCATTTTACAGATACCATCCAGCTGCCTGTAGGATGATAAATTATCTTCTCCTCCTAGAATGGACATGACCTTTTCTTATTAACATGGAAATGCAGGACAGCCCACAACACTGCTCAAGGCTTCCAATTTAAAAAAAAAAAAAAAAACAAAAAAAACACCCACACACACACACACAACAATACCATGCCATACACAAACAATAATCTGAACTTTGTAAAACACAAAAGCTGAACTTAATCTTTGCTGGCCATTTATAAGATCTGAATTTCCCTTATTTCTCCAAAGTTTATCCCAAATACTTTTTAACAGCTTTTCTTCTTTTGCTGTTTGGTGCCTCCCCCCTCCCCACCTATTGTGGGGCCTAAATGTGTTGTGCTCTGCTGTGTGCAGGCTAGGCAGATGTTACAGTACCCCTTGGGGTTAAAAATGTCTTGTAGTGGGCTGGTGGTCCTAAGGAATAACTCCACATAGAGAAAGACACAGCCACAGAATTGCACAAGCACTGTAAAGAACTTTTTAAAGGGAAAACAAGTTTGTTGGCACTGACTGACTGAATTGTCAAACAAGTCCAGAATGATTTGTAAAGATTCTGAATTATGAATAAAGAAATTTTCATATTGGAAGATCAGAGTAGAAATAATAGAAATGTGCTATATTCCTTGAAGTAATCCGATAGCCACTCATTTCAGTCCCTGAAACTTGATTCTAAGCACCATATGCAGAAGACTCCATTTTACATAACTAACTGTACTCTCCTATTGATGGCAAATTTGCAACTATTATAGGAAGTGAGACATGTTACATAACTATAAATTAGAGATGAAAAATGACTAGCTGTAGTACATACCTCAGTTACTGTAGGATTATTCTCTACAGTGTTGTTCTTATTGTATTGTAGAGAATAATCCTCTTGTCTGTACAAAACTATTGTTTTCTATATTATCATGGAGAGGATGTGATGCATTACATATTACTAAAATAACATTTTCAAAGTTATTGCATCTACCAATATATACATTACACTGATTTTAGGAAAATATGCATGGTAAATATATACTAACTTTTAAATGGAAAACTCCAACCTACCATCACCAACCTGTAAGTACAGAAAGCATTTCTGCCCTTTATTCCTTAAAGTATTAAAATGTTAATGCTAAAAAATACAGAACCTTTGTAAAAATTTCAAGCTTTTACCCATTATATTCTAATAGCATTCAGAGCAGCTTCCTGGTAGGTTTCATACTATTTAAATAGAAGTCCAGTAGCACAAATAAAAATAAATTTTAATTTTCAAAAGTGTTATTATGGGATTAGAAAGGAAACTAATTTTATCTTCATAGATACATTCTGGACTTTAATTATTCTGCATTGCTGAGACTGTGTTAAGTAGTACATCTCAAATCAATAAATTACAATAGATTACCTGCTCCATGGTAACCATCTTAAGCTGAAAAAACAAGTTTTTTGGCATCTTTACAGCTGATGCAACCATGTCATGTTATTCAGTCTAGCACTGGAACTGAAAACAATAAACCAGATTGTTTAGCTGAAAGAACAGAATTATAAAATGGATCACTCTGCTCACTATTTTGCAGCTATATAAATTGAGTTTCCCAAAAAGAGGGAATAGTGCAACTAGTAGACATTTATCATTACCTCTGCCAGAATTGTAAATCTGAGCCAGATTTTAGCAAGAATAAGAAAATAGCATATTTAATATCACAGACATTTTAGATATAGAACACCACCAAATTGTCTGCATGTTTCTAATGATTCTTACAGATTAATTGGAAATCTGACAGACAAACAAGACTTTCTTAATAGTGACAAAGAAGAAAAATAATTTTCCATGGAAATGAAGGAAGATTAGCTGAGTCAAGATTGTGGACTTGTTTCATGGAGGTACTGGTCCTATCAATGACTTCCCATACCTGACTTTAAGAACACTTCATTTTAAAAGCAAAGAGTGAACCTACGGCACTTTGGTTAGTGTGTGATTGTGAACTCAAAACAGCTGACAGTTCAACTGGTTAATAAGTGATTAAGTGTTTGAATTTAAACTGCTGACAGTTGTCTTGGTTAGGCTTTCCAGCCTTCTTTAGCAATGAGATCCCCCAGCAACAGCCCTAAATTTGGGTGGACAATTGATTTATATTGTTCCAGGACAGGTAAAGGGTTTCCCAAATGCTTTAGAAAAAAAGGCAGGAATGGGAAAAATATTGCAAATGACAGCAGTATTTATCATCATTAATGAAAATATTTTTGTTCCTTAAAGGAATTGCAGAAGGCTTACTTGTACTGTGTTTCTCACCAACAATGCTCGTCAGCTACAGGATGCATCATTATACAAGGGATGAGCAGTGCCATAAATGTTGTGCCAGTATTTTAAATGCTGCAGCACTGAAAGTCCTGCAATATATTCAAACAAAGGGCTGAAACAACCACATATACTTCCAAGCTGTGCAAATCAGGAATCAATCCCTTCATCTTGGAGAAGCTATGTCACTGTAAAACTAATCAAAATGGACTCAGGTCTGGCGTTTCCTCTCACTTCTAAAGAAGTGAGTGCATTAGCATGCAAGGCCACAAAGCATAATTATCCTGAGTGAGGGGCATTAGAGAATAAGCACAGCAAAAAGAGATAGATGATTCTGTTACCCAGAGATGGGTAAAGTGGTATTGGGTGCTACTACTTAAGAGCTAAGTTATAAGATAATCAGATCTTGTGCTTCTATACAAAGTACCTTCATCCTGAAAAGCTGTACAGATTGCCCATATAGAACAGTTCAAACACAGACCCCACTAGGGTGGCAGGCATCAGCCATCCAACAACCCCTGGGCTTCTATGTGCCGCAAGCAGGACAGAGAAATACAGAAGGGAAAACAGCCTCCAAGTTTCTCAAGGACAACCCCTGCAAAACCGGCTATACTCTTATCAACCTCCACGTCAGTAGCTCAGCCTATGCCCCCTACAGCACACCCCTGTCCAAGGGCTACCGAACCAAAAGGCAGAATATTCACACACCACTGGAAAACCACCCGCCTAAGAACCTCCCCAGCCCCTTGTGCGCAGGCGCCGGCACGCACGCGCCCACCACTTGCCCTTCCCCGCGTTTATTGGCAGAAGGCACTCACGTGGCTGCACTGCGCAGGCGCCGTTGGTCTCACGAAGCCATTAGTTCACCGCCTCAACGGCTACCGTGGGTTTCGTGTCGCTTGGGCTGGCTCCCGCTCGCGCGTGCTGAGGCCGGGGGGGCGATGCTCCGGGCGCGGCCTCTGTGCGGCGGGAGGGTGGGCCCCACGGGGCGGCGCCGGTACTGGCGTAGCGTGGGGCTGACCGAGGGCATCGTCTCGGAGCTGGACACGGACCACCGCTTCGTGCACCGCAGCACCATCCCCACCATGCACTTCCAGCCCAGCCTGCCCAGGTGTGGCTATCGCTGCCCGGGCCTGCTCCGGCCCCAATCAGCCTTGCGGGGGCATGGGTGGCTATGCCTTAGTGTTGCCAGCTGTGCCATAATGATCCTATCTGCACAATAATTTAACTCTTGTACGATCAATAACAGTACAAGTGTTCAAAATGTACGATAATTTTGGGGCAGGTCATTAATGCAGCACATGCAAATCACTCCCAGGGAGTCTTAACAGACTTGTGGGTTTGCTGCCAGCACTTCCTGATGGCCGCTTGCCTCCAAATAAAGAAATGCTTCAACTTTGACCTCGTTCTCGCTCACTGGCTGTTTCCAGTGAACAATATAAAGTAAACAAGACTTATTTGTATATTTTTCAGTCTAGCATAGTTTTTTGAGCAAATATGATAATTCTGAGTTTACAATACAATAATTTCATATCTAAGACTTAGCAATGCTGCTGTGCTGGGTGACTTGGCAGTAGTGGGGGAGGGTGGTTGCTGCTCCCCCACCACCAAATTTCCCAGCCCATGGGGAGTGCTGCAGGTGGGCCAGATGCAATGGCTCTGCACGACACGTTTGGCCCATGCGCAGGCTGGAAGTTGACCACCCCTGATGTGGTTGGTGCTGCAGGGCCCAAGACCTGATGTGTCTTCTTTAACAAGCTCTAGGCCCACCTGTTTTTGGGTCTGTGCATCAGAAGGGCTGTTCTGCAGGTTTCTTTGAGGTCTTGGCTGTGGCTCTGGCCAATGGGTGCAAATTGGGCCAGGTGTGAGCTGGTGTTTCCCTGCCGCTGAAACTGCTGTTGAAAAATTAAATTTGCAACAAAAAAAACACAACCCCAAAAAACAAAATAGTGGAAGATGTCAAGATTTGCTCTGAAAACCTAAAATGACGGCATCAGCATTGTCCTTGCCCCAAGCAATGCCCTAGTCCAGTCTAGTGCCACCCTGCTCCTGACTAGTAATGTACCTGCAAGGGATCGGCACAGCGAGCCCATAGACAGCCCCCTGGTTCTTGGAGGTGTGGTGGTGGTCGTGGGGTCCTGCCTCACATTCACATTCAAGCTGGATAGAAACCACTTGTGGAGCTGTTTGTAGCTGGTTGGCCCTTTTTGTAGCTGGATAGACATTTTGATGGTGAAATGGTTTACTTTGCACATCTGGCCATTCTAAATTTATTGCACAATTCACTAGTTAATTGCATGGTGATTACTTTATACATGAGGCTGGTCTTTCAACCTGTGGCCACTCTGAATTTCTTGCATGCTTAACCAGCTAATTGCGTGAGAATTACTTTGCGCATTTAGCTGGTCTTACTCTGCATATGTGGCCGGTCTAAATTTATTACATGATTTACCAGTTAATTGCGTAATGTGTGGCAGGGGCGAAAGGTTCAACTTAAACAACTTTTCCCCCCTTAGCCTTCATAATTAAGAATGTTTTTGCAAACAGGAACAGTGTGTAACCACTTGAGAGATGCCTGCCCTGAATAGCAGGTATTCTACCTCACTTTGAAGAAACCGAGTTCTGAGTGATAGAAACTGCCTCGTTTATCTTAATAGGGAATTGTCAAGGTTGCTGCAGGGTGCCATGCAATGTTAGCACTGTTAGATATGCAAATATAAGTCACATGATAAACAGGGATTTCAAATAGGAGTCCATAGTGTTAAAAACGTTCTTCCTTTTTGTGGGCTTTTGAGAACAATAAAGAATTGCTTGTATTTTCCTGTAGTTAAAAAAGCAAGGGAAAACCTAGCACTTTTTTCCCCAGAGGCACCTGTTGTCTAAAAAGTTTGAGAACCACTGCCTTGTCCGATAAGCTGGAGAAGGTGTAGGTCTGGCCTCGTAGAGATGCTGTTCATGAGTCAGAGCTTTATTAGAAACTGCTAAAATCTTAGGTCCCTGATGAATTTGCCTGTGAGCAATGTTTCAATTACTCTTTATGTTAACCCATAATCAGTAACTTAAGGACCCCTCATACCCAGTTTAGAGTTATTTGTGCTCAGGGTGGGTAAAAATCACCAATTTAAAAAAAATAATAATAAAAATTGGATTTTTTAAAGTTTAATCTCTTTTATTTTTTTGTTAAAATATTTAAAAAAAAACTTTTATAAAGATAGTCTTAATTTAAGATGTGTTAAACCTCAAAGATATCATCATGGAATAGGGATTGTAACTTCTAATTATATACTGTTTGAGACAATATATTCATGTAACCTTTCTAGAAGTTTTCTAAATAGGTCACAGCAGACCATGGACTAGATTAAGGGCCCAGTCTTATAGGGTTCCCAGAGACACCTCTATAGAGTAGTAAAGATTAAAAAAAAAAAACACTGTACCCAATGGGGCTCAGTGCTCAGTCTAGAACAGGAGTGACCAAGTAAAGCTTGTCACCATGTGCTAGTGCAAAGATTCAAGGAGATGCATATTAACCTCTGAAGAGCTACATGTGGCTCCAGAGCTGGAGGTTGGCCACCTCTGGTCTAGAAGATCCCATTAAGCATCTCTGTGATGCTTAGTTTCAGTTCTCAAACTGTGGATTTGTATCTCCAGAGATCATAGGCAGACATGAATGCCGCATGTCCTTGGAGGCTGGGGGGCGTGGCGACCACAGGGAGGGCACCGCCAAACTCGGGGTTCACGTGAACCCACGTGCATCTCCTACAAATCGCCAGTGTAGGCAGACAAGGTTCTTTGGGTAAATGTAATATCTTTTATTAGACCAACAAAATAGATGAAAAAATTGTTCTTCGCAAGCTTTTAAGCACAAATGCCCTTCTTCAGGCATAGGGAGAGTTTGCTGTCTCCAGAGATAACACCCTTGTTAACAGCAGTATATGGAGATGAAAGATAACAGACCTGAGCAATTACTTACCCATCAGCCCTCTTGTCTCTCTGCAAGTTTGTGTACGCACAGTCAAGCCCTTACCTTTCTCCAAAAGTCCAAAATTTAAAGAAGATAAACGAATAAAGGGTATCAAACAACAAGAATCCACTTTTGTAGAAAACAATGACTTAACTGAGGCTTCCTGACCAGTGATTCAAATAGTGATTTAAATCAAATTGTTTGTGCTAGTTGCTTAATTATTTCCCCAATTAAAAAACCCCAGCTATTGACCAGTAATGTACCCTGCAAGGAATAGGCACAGTAGGATCATAGCCAGTGCCCTGGTTCTAAGAGATGTGATGGTAACAGGCTCAGCTTAAAATACCTTTCCCCTTTGCCTTTCATAATTAGAAACAACATTATTGAAAAACAGGAACTGTGTGTAACCACTTGAGAGATGCCTGCATGAATAGTAGGTATTCTACCTTCCTTTGAAGAGACTGAATTATGAGTTATAGAAACTGCCTCATTTATCTTAGCGGGGAAGTGAACTGAGAAATGTTCAACTTTGAGGGACACTTGCTAACAACTACCCTGACAAAGAAATTTGTGTGTAGACTAGAAGCTGTCCCTTAGTACTAGCACATAATGGTTGCTGAGCTGCTGTTGGATTAGACATTTGTATATGGACGTATGAGTGTAAGCATGGGTTTAGTACTCCAAGATAGATCCTAACCTGTGTAAATCATGAAATGAAAGTATAGAAAGATTGGGACTGAGCCTGCTGTAATAGGAGAGATTGGTGATCAGTCAGATGTCTCTTGTATAGGTGACTCCTTCACTTAATACAAGGTGAAGGGGTGATCATGTTGCATGATGGTGTGGCCAAACTGTTGAAATAGCTGCATGAATAGTATGCCTGAAGACCCTGATGACTTTAATCTGGTGCTGGAAATACTAGCAACAATCTTGACCTTTTACGATCGGTTTGGATCCACTGAGCCAGTGCAAATATCTGTGGCAAAAACCCTCAGAGATGCATTGCACATTTTCTTGCAGAAACACTCCATGGATTGCCCACAAGTCCCAGGAGGATATGCCCAATAATATTTAAAGTTTCAAGGTCTCAAACAAATGCCAATCGTGAAATCACATAAATATAATAGCTAAGTTACTCCATTTCTTGGAGGCAGATTAATGCATGTTTCAGAAAATTATTCCTAGAAATCAGGAATTGTACCTAGGTAAATTAAAAAAAAAATCAACTAGGCAGTTCATACTTAACAAAATGAAATTGGTGTAATCAAATACCAATGTCATGGCTTGGGTAACAGTTTTTAAATTGTAATGCTTTTATCAAGAATAGAGGGTTCCTGTTTAAAATATTTTAGTTTTGGCTTTTTATGTAAGTACTTTTTCAGGACCACAAGGAGAAACATAGTAAAATAATTATCTCTGCATAAATCTAGTCACAGAATGAAATTATGGTTTTAGCAGTTAAAAATATTTTTTGTATTTGCATATAAATGGTTAGAAAAATCCAACTCCTGAATTTGTACCTTAAATAGACTGCTGCTTCCTCTTTCTTAGACTGCAGTTAAGCATCATTGCCTTCATCATTCCTCTTTCCTTGCTATTGCCTTGTTCCTGAAGGCCGTCACCTCTCATAGCAGAAGCTTTTATTAGTCAGATAGCATAATCCAGGGGTGTTCAACCTTTGGTCCACTGGCCAGATATGGCACACGGGCTGGAAACTGGCACTGGGAAAGCAATGGGTGTTAATACAGTCACCCTCCCTCTGCCAGATTCCCAAGCCCTGCACCACTAATCACAGCTGGGCCATGCTTCTCTACTGCCCCCCCAGCCTTGCTTACATCTAGATTGGGGCCAAGCCATGCCATATCCCTGTCCCTGCACAGGGCTGGGTTGGGGCCAGATTACATTCCTTCTCTACCCTCCCATCCCCATGCCTCCACTCCCGACAAGGCTGAGCCATAGCCCCTCTCCTAACCACCACCCTCCCCGCCCCAGCACTTGCAGGGCCAGCCATATCCCCTTCCCCTCCACAGCCGGGTTGCAGCTGGGCTGCCCCCTGCACCCCTCCATATAGCTGGATGGTGTCCTCTGTTGTTTCCTCTGTTACTGATACATTTACTTTACTTTGATTTTACTGTTAAATTGCTTTTTGTTTATAATTCTGTTCTTCCAGATTGCCTGTTCCAAGATTGGAGGATTCTGTCAGGAGATACCTGACTGCTCAGAAGCCCCTACTGGATGACGAACAGTACAGGTATGAGAAATGATGTAATGAAAATGTTTAAAAAGAGGACATTGTGAACTTCTATACTTACAGATACCAGATCAGATTTGTTCAGTTGTCAAGTCAGAAGCTGTTTCTTAATGTCAGCTCTGTAAAATTAATCCAAGGCCTTAAAACTTAAGCTACACTTTTAGAAATGTAGGACAGGAAAGCGCCTCTGGGGCCACTAAGTCTGGTGCCTGTGTTTACAAATAACTATCTGAAGAAAAATTCCTTGCTGACACCAGATCTGACTGTCAGTTTGACCCTGACGGTATGATCAAGACCAGTCTGCCAGTGACCAGCACACCTCAGCCAAACTTCCACTTCTATCTGTGACCAAAGACCAGTGCTTCAGAGGAATTTGGGAAAGCCTCTTAGGAGTCCCATGTTTCTCTCATAGGAGGGGGAAAAAGTTCTTCCTGGCTCTTGCAGGTGACTAGCAGAAGCTCTGAAGCATGGGATTACTGGATACTTCTAAAACAGAGTTGTAGTATTTGTCATGGAAATACCAAATGCTCAAATCCACATATCACATGCTCTGACGTAGCCCTTACTTTACCATATCAGGCTCCGTCTTGAACAAGTAGGCATTTCCTGGTTCCACAAATTGAAATTATTCTGAAGATTATTCCACAACTTTATGGTTAGAAAATACCTTCTAATTTTGAGTCTAAATTTGTTATAGCCAATTTGTACCTATATGATATTGTACCAATATTGTTCTTTGTCTCTCTCCCTGATACTCATTCCATAAATGTATTTATAAGGAGTAGTTACATAGTTTCTTAACCTATGAATTGCTAAACAAAATAAACCAAGTTATTTTAATTTGCCCTCCATTCCTCTGACCATCCTAAGTAGCCCTTCCTTGTACCCATTTCATTTTAAAATAATCTTTTAAAATATAGATAATCAGAACTGCATATTGCAGCCCGTGCAGGCAGCCCAGCAGTAGCCTGAGAAGGCAGGTTCCACTGAAGGAAAAAAAAAAAGTGGCCAGCCTGATATTCTTTTTTCCCCGCCTGGAGCCTGTCTGTCTGCGTGAGCTGCACGGGGACCTGGTCCTTCCCTCTGCGGCTGTGGCGCCCTCTGCGACTGCCTGAGCCTGGGTGCCTGCACCGGTGCTACCTGGGGGGGACCACCACTGTCGCAGAAGGAAGTACCAGTCCCGCCCCACCCCCCTGCAGTCCAGGAGCTGCTCCAGCCACCAGCATCTCACCCTCCCCTCCCCCGGAGAGACAGGTGAGACATGGGTATACACAACACAGGGGTTTACTTCGCCCTAAATTGAAGCAGTGTTTTTAAAAATCCATTGCTTCAATTTAGGGCCTCCATTTCATCTACACATGCCCTATGACAGATCCCTGATGAACAGCAGTAACTTCTCTCTAATAGCTCTCCTCCTGATAAAATCTGTTTTAGTCTCCCTTTTTGGGGTGGGTTATCAGAATGAGTAAGATGTCCCATTATGACTGCATCGGCATGAGTTCAAGTCTACAAGCCGCTCTGAACTTATAGAAAAGGCCACCATCTTTCACACTACCCAGCTGTAAATGGGTACATTGTTTGGTTTGGGGAAATCCAAGGTAACTTCCTAGTTACATCTCTCTCTTGTGTGCCGTTGGCTATAAAAACTGTCATCCTTAACCATACTATCCCTGATGACCATTTAACTCAGGGGTAGGCAAAATACTATCCGGCCCATGGGGCCCCTAAAAAAATTTGGAAAATTAATATTTCTCTACCCTTGGTTCCTGTCAAAAAGGGCAGTAGGGCCCAGGGGAAGCCCGGTGGGCTCCCACAACAATGGGCCCACCTGGCCCCGCCCCCCAGCCGGAAGCCCCAGCTGGGGTTTCTGGGCTGGGAACACATGGCTGCCCCAGCGTGGGAAGCTCAGGTAAGTTCTGGGGGGACCACAGGCAAGGAAGGACTGTGGGTGGGGGGGGAGCAGCCCCACCCCACCCACGCTTGGTGCCCCATGCTGCAGCTGCTTGCAGCCTGCATGGGGCTGCCTGTGCCCACTCCGGACAGCCCTACGCAGGCTGCGAGTGCCTGGGGAGGCAACAGGAGTTGCTGTTTCATGTATCGGTTCTTGAGATGTAGATTTTTTGCCCCGAGTCCTCCAGTTCCATCGCAGAGAGATCTAAGTTTTAGTTCCGTTAATTTCCATTATATTCTCATTTCCATTTGGTACCTACCATTATCTTCATTTATAATGCCATCTTGGAGACTAAAGCAAAGTACAGCAAAAGCTTTGTTATCTGGCACCCATGGGAAATGGGGGTGCTGGATAACCAAATATGCTTTGGTTACCTTTGCCTGTTTGGGCCGCTGCCTCTCCCGCCATGTCCAGTATGCCGCCACCCCTCCTGCATCTGTGTGCTGTGGGGGGACAGAAAGGGGGGCCCCGCACAGGCTGCTGTGCCCTGGGCTGTGCGGCTTGGCAGCGCAGGCTGCTTTGCTCTCGGCTGTGGGGACTCAGCGAAACTGGAAGTACCATGGTGGGCACTTCCGGTTTCACTTTTACCTTACAAGCCAGCATGGTGGTTAATAGAGCATGCTGATTTGTAAGGTGCCAGATAACACAGCTTTTACTGTATTTATTCTGTACTTGAGTGATACCTAGTTTACCCTTAGTCTTCATTTTCCCTGAAATTTATTGTGGCCCCACTTCCTCCATCTTCCCTCCCTCATTCTTTCTTATTTATGTAACTGATGAACATTTTGATGTTCATCTTAACTTTGCTGGTAAAATACAGCTCAAACCTTTGGCTACTTACTTACATTTTATTTCTGTATTTTCTGACCTCTGAAAGATAGTTCTCATTGTTGATCAATCTCTTCTTTCATTCCTTATAGATTCTCAGCTTATTCTTAATATCCATTTTAAGTTGCATGTTCAAGCTTTTTTTGGTCATGACAAGTAATAAATTGTCTATCTGCTTAATCTGCCAACAGTCTGTTGAGGTTTCACCAATACAATTGAAGGTAAAATTGGCACCCAATTCATAGGATTCATAGATTGTAAGGCCGGAAGGGACCTTGGAAGATCATCAGGTCCAGCTGCCTGCACCAAGCAGGAAAAATAACGGGGGGTTAGGTGACCCCACCAAGGTGACTGTCTAGTCTCCTCTTGAAGATTTCCAGGGTAGTGATTGCACCACCTCTGGAGGGAACTTATTCCACAGTCTGGACACCCTGACTGTAAAGAATTTTTTCCTAATGTTGAGCCTGAATCAGTCTTCCAGGAGTTTGTGGACATTTCCTATTCATTCTCCCTTCCAGCAACCACTCTGCCACTGTGTGACACAGGATACGGGACAAGAGGGACCTATGGTCTGACCCAGTACGTGGCAGTTCTTATGTTTCATTGCAAAGCAGCAGTGGATGATGTTTATTAATTATGCCTCACTTTCAGAAGACAGATTTCCAAGCTGACCCCATCTAGTGTTTTCCTTCTTCCCTGGGAAGGAATGAAAGTATTTAGATAAGAAAATTTTTCCCAAGGAATTTCATTCTTCAGGAAGAACAATTACATGTGATTTCATTATTCTGGTTTTCTTACTATAGCTTTATTATGATTCTTTGACCTCTCCCCTCTTAGCTGTTCCCTTAAGTCTTCCTGTGAAAGTGGTAAACAACTTTGGAGTCTGTATCAAAGCCATTCTACATATCAAGTAGACTTGATGTTTTAATAATGTATTAAGAATTGTGTCTTTCATTGATCTCTGTTGATATTACCAACAGACATCCTTCTAAAGGCCTGAAAGTCTTTTCTGTTTAACTGCTACGACAGCAAAGATCTAGGAAATAGCTGCACTGGGTCACACCCACCAGCTCCAGAAGTCCCCAGGGGAGGGAAGCAGGGTGGGAGCTCGAGCCCAAAGCCTGTGCCTGCCCCAGGTACAAATCTGGGGGGCATGGGTCTCCCCTGTCCCCCTGGGAGTACGCATAGCAGCAGGGAGCCAGCGTTCCCTCTCCCCTGGATGAGCTGCCACGGCCCCGTTCTGCTCCCCACTGCGGCCCTGCAGTCACACGCTGCAGCCCCAAGCCCCACCCTGGGCAGCAGCCTCAGTCTGCGCCTGCCCTGGGTACAGGTCTGGGGGGTGTGGGTTCCCTGTGTCTTCTGGGAATGCACATGGCAAATTGAAACTTGTATTCTTAGATTTCAAAAGGACTAGAGCCTTAGCTTGGAACCTCATAAATTTTGGGGTAAGACTTCTTAATCTGTTCTTAACATGATTCCTGCTAGCTTCACCAGAGCTTTTCTTGAACTTTTGCTTTGGTCTGTATGAGTGTTACCATAATTGTTACCTAATTTTATCAGCAAATTGAATGTAAAGTTCAGCAAATAATTTTGCTGAATGTAAAGTTCAGCAATGTAATTTTATCAGCAAATTGAATGTAAACTTGTGATTGCTATTAGTAGTAGTAATTGCTATTTGTATATTTTACAAAGTAGTCATTGCTATTCATTATTAGAGGTACGCTGATACATTGGTCTGATATTGGATTGGCACCAATATAAAGAAAATTGACTATATCAGAAATCGGCCTGTTGTGGCAGAAAATTTGGCTGATAAATGCCTGTGCGTGTGCACAGCTGCAGCAAGGAGCACAGCTTGGCACAGGTTGCCCTGCCCTTCCCTGCTGAGATCCGGGGGCACTTGCCCCTACCCTCCCCCTCCCGCTCTGGTCCATGCCCTCCCAGGGTGCATGTCACAGAGGGAGCTGCTCCCCTTCCTTGGATGAGCCGCAGCTCCATCCTGTGCCCTACCCCAGGCACTGCCCCACTCCCTCACCGCGGGGGGCATTGATCTGTGCCCTTTCCTCCCCCTTCTCCATCCACCACAACAGACTTACCAGCTGGATGCAGCTGTATCGGAAGTTGGATCGGTAATGGCTGATATGCCTGCTTAAAAATCGGCTATCAGTATCAGCCCCCCAAATCTCCATTGGTGCACCCCTATTTATTATGTTTTATTTGTATTGTTGTAAAGGCTCCAACCGTAAGTCAGGGCCACATACCTAGGAATATACAAACAAGAAAACCAATTCTCACGAGAGTTCTCATTACAGATTGAAATGTATGATAAAAGGCATAACACTTGAATGAAATATACAATTGCTAAAGTTATTTTTAAATACTACATATTACAATAAAAGACTTTTCAATGTTGTAGAAATACAGAAAGAATTGCCAAGGAGTTTCAAAAAGGAATAGGCAAGCAGTTACATCAAGATCTCGTTGAACTAGATAAAAAGAATAAATATACGAGTTATATATCAGGTTTGTTTTTCCATTTTCTTATCATCCTCATAATTCAGACATTTTGTTTTTAACAGAATATTATAGGTATTCATTTATAACACTCTTCAAAACACCCTTATGAGGTAGGCAGTTATACCTTCTTACTGATGGGTACACCTGAAGCGCCATATGTAAAAACATGTTAATAATATTCCTGGGAAGAGAAAAAGTTGATCATCATTCCTAGTCCTCTACTGCCAAAGCTAGTATTTGATATAGATTGTGTGGGAAATAGAATGCACAGCTTGTGTTTATCTAGCATAGGTATTTCTATGGCAACTGTTACCTTGGTATCTCAGAACCAGAGGATTGGGAGCTTTATAACTTGGGATAAATTGAATTCCTGGTGTCACTTCACAGGTTTCAGAAGAGCTGCCCAATGTGTACTTACTTATTCCATGTTTAGTACAATGACATGTCCTTCTAAAAGTTTAGATTTACAATGGAAATTGAAATTTGAAAAGAGAAATGGGTTGCCTTTTAAAAAAATTCCTTATGCTTGTATAGTTTTAAGAGTACTCATTATTTTTTGCTTTCACATTTTTTTACTAATTTGAAACGGAAATAATTCAGTAAACTAACTAGATGCTACATGTAAATATGTGCTTTCATAAAATATATATATCAACATGCTAAAATTATATTGTTATTAACTGAGTTTTTACTTTTATGTTTTGTAGGTCCTTGGTTTGATATGTATTTATCTGCCAGAGAACCTGTTGTTTTAAACTTCAACCCTTTTATTTGTTTAACTCCTGATCCAAAAGAAGCATACAACAAACAGCTACTGAGAGCTACAAATTTGGTAGTATCATCCATAAAATTTCTCAACTCTCTAAGGAGTAACTGTTTACGGCCAGATATATATTATGTCAACCCCAAATGGAGCAAGAGTAGGCCCTTCAAACACTTCATCCGCTTTCTTCCATCTTCTGTGGCTTGGTATGGAGCACTTCTGGTAAATGCGTATCCGCTAGATATGTCACAGTACAAGTGTCTCTTCAACAGTTCCAGAATTCCTAAATTAAACAAAGATGAACTGTTTACAAATGAATGTGCAAGACATTTGTTGGTAATGAGAAATGGTCACTTTTATATTTTTGATGTTTTGGATCATCTTGGTAACATTCTGCATCCATCTGAAATTAAGGCTTATTTGCTTTATATTTTGCAAGATGCAGATCACTTGCCTGAATCTTCCCTTTGTTATTTAACCACTGAAGACAGAAATACTTGGGCAAAAATAAGACAACAGCTTATCGAAGCGGGTAATGAAGAAAACTTAATGAAAATTGATAGTGCAGTCTTTTGCCTATGTTTAGATAATAGTTCCCCAAAGGATGATGATGAGCTTTCACATTGCATGCTTCATGGAAATGGTTTCAATCGCTGGTTTGACAAATCTTTTAGTTTGATTGTCACGTCTGATGGCACTGCAGGGATAAACTTTGAACATTCTTGGGGAGATGGAGTCGCAGTCCTTCGTTTTGCTAATGAAGTACATAGAAACAGTACAAGGCATCCAGCTCTTGTACCACAGTCTGCGCTAAGTGCTGTAAAGTGTGAGAGACTGGAGTTTAAATTGAATGATTCAGTAAACTCTGCTATAAATACAGCACGTATGAAATTTGATAAAATAAAGCAGAAAATGTTTGTGAGACAGTTCAGATTCCAGAAGTTTGGAAAAGAATTTATAGTGAAGCAAAAGCTGAGTCCAGATGCTGTTTTTCAACTTGCATGTCAGATAACTGCTTATCGACAGTATGGAAAAATGGTTTCTTGTTATGAAGCATGTAGCACGGCTGCTTTTAAACATGGTCGTACAGAAACAATTCGACCCACATCTGTGCTGTCACAACAGTGTTCTCGTGCGTTTGTTGAAGAACGGAGCAAACATGCTGTGGCAGAACTGAGAGACTTGATTGACAAATGTTCAAAGTACCACAGACGGCTACAGCTAGAAGCTGCATTAGGTTAGTTCCATACCCATATGATATATTACTTCTATCTAAGGTTTTGATATCCAAGGAACTTTCAGAATTGGTCCTTTTTTGGAGGTATAAGTCACAATCATGATCCCTGCTTTTCAAATGCAGCTACAAATGAATTTTTTAATGTGTGTTCTGCTGTTTTCATTTCCTCATGACCTGTAGAGAGTGTCAGGAACCGTGGCATTTTTAAAGGTGAATTTTGCTTATTTTTAGCTTTAAAATATAAAGAATATCAATTCTGATTTGCTATATGACTTACCAAGTATCATGGAAGACATGCAGTTTTAGAAGCTGAATGTGAACTGAAGGAACTAGATTTTTTGATTCATTAATGAAGACTTCCATTCAACTGTTAGTTTTACACTTAAGTTAAATAAATGTTAACAAAAACAGACTCTTTGAAATCTAACTGAAAGCACCCTCTATTCTCAGCTGTCCATCTTTCAGTCCCTTGTTCCACTTGCCATGTAATCTTTGGTGATAAATGCAATCTAAATTTTGAATGTACAAAGGGGCAAAAATCAAAGCTGACATTTTCCCCCATGCAGACAACATAACATTTTTGAACCAGAACGAGAGAGAGAAAACTTTAAATTACTAAGAAGCAAGAAAGGTTCCAGCTCATTTTTCCCATGCCCCTCCTGCAGGTCACTTTTAAGAGATCCTGTTCTCTATGCTGTCCGTTCACTGTTTAGAACTGTAGTTCTGCTTTCTTCACATGCTGTATAAAAAACTAGTGAAGGGTGGCAAAAAATAAGGGATGGGGGAAGAGGAAACATAGAATATATAGGAAGGAGATTACATTTACCAGTAGATAAAAGGAAAAATCATAAAAATGTGTAGAAGCAGAAGCAAAATACTGAGAGTTAAGCACTGTGGGTGCCTGTACACAAGTGCAGAGGTTATTCCAATGCACTGTAATTACCATGCTCCAACAGCTTCCTGCATCTCATGTATCAGCATCCCTGGGCTTAAAAATGTCAGAGCGCGGCTCATCAAACAAGCCCAATGCCATTTTTAAGTGTGGGGACGCTGATACACCAGATGCAGTGACACTTTAAAGAGCCACTCTAATTAAATCACTGCTCGCCTTCCCCCACCCCTGGAGCACATAAAGAAGTGCCTTGAGGTATTTGGATATGAAATTCCAAATATGTAGGGGGAGCTGTTCCTTGTTTATTCTTCAAGTTAGAAATTCCTCAGGACATGTCCCCATCACATTTCTTTGTCAAGCATCATAGTTCTGTGTAGTAACTAATATACCTGGATTTCCACTGCTGGTCATTTTGTTTTCCTTTTGAACTAAATGTTTCTGAGTAATATCCCAGCAACCAAGAGAAGACAGAAATATATGGGGAAGTGCTTCATGTTCAGTTAGGGTTCTTATAAACAGAATATAATTTGGACTTTATATGTGATATTTTTAACATTCCTTTTATTTTTAGAACTTTAAAAAATGATTACATGCTAGTAATGCTATGACAAAATAAGCCTGTGGAGTTTCTGGGGAAAATAAAAACATGGGTATTCAAAGGTAAGCTCCAAACTCCTTAAACAGCCTAGTTAGATGTTGTCACTGTATTTGGATTGCTGGGTACACAGAACCTCCTTTTGATGTCTGCAGAACTATCTGAACAAGGATGATGCTGGTTAGGTCATTATGAGTAAGAAACATATGACTGTGTCAATTTTAAATGTAACATTGTATGCCTCTCCTATTTTAACTAAGACAAAACAATAAGTAGCTCATGAATTACAATGAAATAAAATATCAGAGCATACCAATACAGTTTGAAACTATTTGAATCTAAAGGTTTACAGGAAGGTTATGCATGTTGTACTTTATTAATAACATTATATGTTCTCTGTATTCATAATGCATTATGAACTTTTTTGGTTTTATAGGCAAAGGATTTGATCGCCACTTATTTGCACTGAAACATCTTGCAGCAACCAAAGGTGAACATATGCCTGAATTTTTTCTCGACTCAGCCTATCAGAGAATAAATCATAATATCCTTTCAACTAGTACATTACACAGTCCTGCAGTACATCTTGGTGGATTTGGGCCAGTGGTGCCAGATGGCTTTGGAATTGGGTATCATGTATTTGATACGTGGTTAGGATGTAACGTAACTAGCTATTTAGATAAAGAACAACAAGAATTTCTGAGCTCCCTTGAGCTTAGTTTAAATGATATTTTAGATGTGTTGGAGGGAAATCCTCTTGCGTAACATCATAAATGATACACAACATCAGTACTTTTCAACTAAATTCTGATCAATAAAAATAATGGTGCAAAATTTTGAAGAATCTAATAATGAGCACAAAACACTTGGAAATGTGGCAGATGAAGATGGTAATTATAAACAAAAATGTGAGCCATTTATATTCAGTGGACTGACAAGATGTTCTCCATTCTTGGCATGTCTCTTATTTTGTTGTTTCTGTGTTTTTGTTTTTCAACATTTATTAAGGCCTTTAAGAAGTATTTTTGCAGATTTTTTTGCTGATTTCTTCCTGTTCTAGTGAAATCTATTAATTTATGCTTGTGTGGGTTTTTTTTCATTCTCCTGTTTATATTTTACAGTTGTATTATTTTGGCATAGTACTGTACTATGTCTTCATTGTTGTGCATGTTCAAATATGCTTGTTAAAATAAAAGTTTAACTTATTCATTACTGGAAACATTTTGCTCACCGTGCCTCAGTTATTATAGAGGCCAAACATTTTATTGATTTTAATGCTGACATGATGCTTCTGTTACAAATTCTGTTTTTTATGGGGTAGTTGAATATTTCCTTTTAAAAGTAAATAAATGTTTTGGTTAAATTACTAGGAAACGTTAGTTACACCTATTATCAACCCCAAGAGGGTTAATTCTGCTTGGTTTACTTATGCAAGTACTTGTGCACCCTGGCCTTCAAGACCTAGAATTGAACCCAAGGTTCTTGAGTGTCACCATTCCCCTGTGGTCAGCAAATAAGTGAAAACCATTGTTATAGTAGACATTTCATCTCCTCCTAGTGCTGTTCTACATAGAGGATAACTACCTACTACCTGTTTATTTCATTTGTTCAACTACCACAGGTCTGTGCTGTGGGTCTAAAAGTTTCAAAACTGCTCATTTACCATGTGGGTGTTGGTAGAATTTCATGCAATCTGTTTCTTTCAGTTGTTTGTTTTTTTTTCACCTATGCAATTATACAAAAAAGTCTGTTAAGGTTTCAAAATTAAGTATTCAAAGAAATTTAAAAATGTTGAAATTAAAGTTGTGTGCGCAAAGTTAATTTATTCCTCTGAAGTTATGATATGTAAACACTATCTTTATTTACTTGAGTACATGTTATATTTTCCAGGGGACTTGTGCCTTATTCAGGGACTAAGATGAGCAATGGTCTGAGGATGACCCATGGTTATGTGCCAAAGTAAACTGTTGTCTGCGGAAGTTGTCATCTTTGATGCAGAAGTATATGCTACTGAAATATGGGTGTGAGGGGCAGCTGCTAAAGTGGCCGCTTTGGGACATGATCAACTGGGTGTAGTTGTGAAGTTGACTTCCCAGAATGATATTCTTCATGCTTTGTTCCCATCTTTTCCTTCTAGGGCAGCTTGAGTACAGCTCAGCCAGAACAAAGAGTATTGGTGCTTGTGCACATTGTAGCAGGGCACTAAGGTGCCTGCTGCTTGAAAAGCAGTAGTATGGGCTCAGGTGCTGGTTGCCAGGGGCAACCAGGAGGAGCTAAGGGCCCACACCTGGTGAGTCAGCTGACCGGAAGGGGCAGGGCTGACTACTGTAAGACCCAGACTGGAGGCTGTGAGTGCTTGCTCTCACTCTCTGCTGGCAGCCAGAAAGAAGGGGTACTGCCTGAGTAAGGGAAAGAGATCGGCCTTGAATGTAGGAAAGAGAAAAAGGCCTGGATGTATAAGCCGCTAGTTACATGGGTGAGAGATGTGGCGTGGTTTGGAGAACGTTTAGCCAGGAGGTTTAACTTTGTGTTATAGCCCAGGGGCTTGTGTTATTGTTTGTTGTTGTTGTTACACCGGAGGACTGAGTGAGGCTACTAGGGGTTGGAGGAGGCCTCATAGGGGCTCCATGGTAGTGTGGGGACCCCGGTGCCAGAGAGGGCACAACATTCAGGGGTGCATTGACCCCAGCCCTGAGAAGGGGAGCAGAGGATTGGGAGGGGGCCAGGTAAGGCCGAACCCGCCTGAGCCCTAAGGCGAGAAGCCCCAGAGCGGGCAGTTGTGAGAAGCCCCAAAAAGGGGACAAGCCAGAGAGCGCCAGTGGGCACAGGCTGCAAGACAAGGCAGAGAGCGTCTGTGGGGCGCGGAGAGGGAAATCAACCAAACAACATCAGGTACATCTGTGAGGGTTGGGGCGTGGTACAGGGGTGGTTGGAGCCACGCATAGCCATAAGGCTGGGGTGCACCGAGTGACCCAAAATAGAACCGAGACCGAGATACATCAGAGCACCATGTCAGAGAGGACAAAAGGCAGCCTCCTGTATACATTGTTGACATCAAAGACGTGGTGGGCGAGATGTGAGGGTGCTTTAGTACCACATTGGCCTGGTAGGGGGCACTAGGGGAGATCACGGCCACCCCTAGGATCCCGCGCTGCTACACACATGACACCATTACCATGTACATGCGATGAAAATGTCACTTCGCGTGGCTTAATGGCATCACACTACACTTGCAAGAGTTTTGGGGGGTTTTAAATGAGTTTGCACTGTTGTGAACTAAACTACAAGAGGAGACTGGATAGGCACCTGGCTGGGGTCTTATGACCCCTCCCACCCCCAGTTCTCCTTCCTGCCCAATGGGGTTGGACTAGATGATCTGTCTAGGTCCCTTCCGACTCACTGATTCTATGATTCTACCTGCCAGTATAGTTCAGTTTTCAGCGATGCCTTGCAGTTATTAGTCAGCTCACCCTCCAGCTGCAGAAGAGGTGGGTAGGCTCTGCGAGGGAAAAAGGATTGGGCCCTCGCCACTTCTACCTTCAGCAGCCACCTACTGAAGGCAGAAGTGGCAAGGGGCCTGATCCTTTTCTTTTTCTGGTGTACCCTGCCTGCCTCCTGCAGCTAGGAGGGTGAGCTGCCAGCGAGC